AAAAAAATGAGAGAATGAGAGCCCATAAACTAATTATTTCTCTATTAATATACAAGGGATGTAAAGAAGATATTCGTAATGATGCAAATACTATAGTCTAAAACTCTGGCCATGTTGTACAATATCAAAATGAACAAGTGGAATTCAATAATTTGATTTAATTATATTATTAGGTGGGTATTGATACTCATACTCCTTTGATATGGAATTTTTTTGTAATGGAAATCATTTTTTTATTTGTGTGTTCCCCACATAATCTCAATTATTGTCTTTAATGCATTGGCATATATGCCAAATTTATATGTAATTTTGTATGAGTGACAAGGGGCAATTAAGGAATTTAGGATGAGCATAGATACACAGGAAATACATTTTGTAATTCAAAATGGGTTAGAAAATGGCAGCCACCAACTATAGAAGGCTAACTACTTTAACTAATTAAAGATGGTATTTAATAACCAAATGCCTACTCACAATATATCAATATTTTTATAATTATTTTGTTTTATGTGGGGTTCTAAGATACATTATCTCTTCTAGTCAATTCGAGTGGTAATTCTTTTGAAAATTGGAATCATTACATTGAACATTATATAGACAAGGAACATTTAGTGATCTAGATACGAAATTAAGTGGTTTTAAATGACTTTTATATAAAGAAAATGTTGGTTTAATGCTTTTTAACATTTTGAGCTTGAAAAAAAAAATTTACCCAAGTAGAACTAAATTTATTTATTTTATTTAGATTTTGTTGAGTAATGAAACCAAATGTAAGCTAACCTACAATTACAAATAAATGAAAAAAACCAAAATATTGTTATGAAGAAAAGATTCGGTCGTGCATTCCACAAAAAAACCAATACATCATTTGGATAGAATAAATAACGGTCTAGTGATATTTTGATATTTAGATATATATATGCATTCAGAAAAAGAAGACTGTTTCTTTCACATCATATTAAAGTATAATAACGAAAAGAAAAAAAAACTCATAGAATAGATTCGTTGAAATAAATCAAAAGTAACTTTCATATACAAAGAAGATAAAAAGAAATTAAAAGAGAGTTGAAGTGTGAAATGAGAATCCAGAAATGGTTTTGCTTTTTTTTTCATGAGCATATGATGCGTTCTAAATTCTTTAGGCATCAAAGATTATATAATTTTTTTGTTTTTATAACCTTTTCTTCTTCTTCTCCCTGCAACATCCATAATGTTGGATCCTTAGGTATATAGTTCAGTCCAAGGAAAAGACTCTTGACCGCACCGAATAAGTTCCTGTTAAGCAAACTGATGTAACAGATTCATAAACTTCTGCAATTGAATCATGACTAAAGACAATTCTTGTTCTTCTGAGAACGAAAGCTATAGTGTTTATTAGCGTATACATTGGAAGATTATCGATAAAACAGTCGCG